ATCGTAACCGATGGTTAGAGACATTGAGTGATATGGCTGGGTGTCGCAACCAGTGGCGTTCGTGCATCTTCTCAATCTGTTTTCAACCTTAGACCACTGAACTTCTCCATTTTCTTTTCGACTTCACTTTCAATTTTCCTTTCTTCTCCTATTCTTCATCCAAATAGGCAATCAAAAGACAGCAACCAAAACCGGCGCACGAAAGTGCATGGTTAATGGTTGTTCAAACTGAATCTAATGCGTTTACCTGGTGCATGGCCTTTGTTTTTGTATGACTGACGTTCTCTTGAAGTTCACCTGTTGTGAGGTACTACTCACATTTATGTGGAAGCTAGGAAGCCATGCACCACAGAGTCGTCACAAATCAAACTCCTGGTCAGAGCTTCAAAAATCTGGCAACAAACCAACTCTAGACCGGAAACAGATTCGCCCAGGTGTTTGGAAAAGGGACTTCATTGCTCGATACATGCAGAGTTCATCTTAGCTGGGGAGTGAGTAGCATGCCAAATAGTGCGGTTGGTGGTTTCCTTAAACGATCGAGAATTAACAAGACTACCGAGCGAAAATTGCTGTCTCAAAGAGTAACTACCGATTGCTCCATTCATTACCCGGTGAGCTGCCGGGAACTGCGATGATATGTTTCAAATGAGATTTTAGTTATATGAATGCTTCATTAGTGATGTCCTAATTTTGAGCTGCAATAAACAACTTTCTTCAACCGAATACCGCCTTGTGGAATTATAACACACCTACCACAGTCCAGATTCTCTAAAGTGTGTATAGATCTTTGATAAACCTTGCCGTTTTGCTTCACACGACAACAGTACGCGGCTCGGAATGCTTCCGATCTATTCACTAACCCTGGGGGATAGTGCCGAGATAAGCAAGGTCATGTGTTTGTGACAAGCTCACACAATGGGTGGTGATTTACGATATATTGTGTGAAGACAAAGTGAAACGGTCTCCTATCAGTCGACCGATGTTCAAGTGATGTTAGTATGGTCAAATTCCCGAAANATAATAAATGGAACAGTCAGTTAGCATTTTGCGCATACCAATTCACTCTTGGAGGTCTTGTTCATTTTTGACCGTTGAAAGAAACCGCCAACCACATCCTTTTGGGTACTACTCACAAATATGAGTAGCACCTTACAACAGTGTGCTTGCATGCTGCCTGTGAAATGTTTCCCTCGTTCCCCAAAACAAATTGGAATGATATTCCGATAGCTGATATCACACTGGTCATAGTCATCCCTCGCTTACCCGCTCATCCTCTCTCTAGGCTCCCAATCTATACGTGTGTAATGATCAAAGCGTAAATAGCATACACTCATGAAAATGATGTGCTTTCCAATGTGAAATGGATTTCATCCCGTTTAACAATGCAATAAAACTGTCACATATTGAACTGTGGATGAATCACCGAAAACACACTTTTTTCATGCGATGAGTCCGCTACCGAAGTATCAGTTTTACTTTTATTATTTATCTCATGAAAAAGTTGATACATATTATTTATTTTATGATATTACATATATTTATTTTATTTCTGTGTTCTTTATATGGAGAGCATTTTCCCAATGACACTACCGAATATCCAGGAGATGGCGATAAAGATTTGTTTCCCTTGAGGTCCACCTGAATACCACAGTCAAACCTAGCCGGACTTTATCTGGTTCAGTACCCCAATTGGCGGGGGCTTTGTTTGTCGGCTTGTATGCCTGAACGGCAGGTCATCGTGATCATGGGGTTTACCCTGCCGACTGTTCAGCGCACAAAAAGATGGCATTTTACAATAGGTACGGAGCATTTGCAAGGGGGACCGAGGATCCAGTGTTCAATAAGTAACTCACAGCTACTGCACGACCATTGTCCCCGGTCACCACATTGACGGGGACCTTTCCGGCTGGAACGTGGGCACCGGTACGACATGTAATGATTTTGCTGCTTTGAGATTCAATGGTACACATTGTACCACCAATATCAACCAGTGTATTCGGGTCTGAACTGATACAGTGAATGATGAATGAGAAAAACAGTAAGACACGGATTCGTTTATCACGAGGTCACAAACAACCGACTTGCTATTACCACGATTCACTGGAAAACTGTAAAGGTTCATACGAGGATCGCATTTCTGTTGGTATCCTGTAGGGGAGTTAAATGGTCCGTGCACTACAATCAGTCTTATGACCAAGCTCGTAAAGGCCCGTTCCCTCGTGACGATGTGCTACACGATTTCTACTTTTTTCTTATAGGCATAGCGGTAACTTGGAGAAAATTCAAGAGGGTTAATCAATCCTGGTTCGTTTGGATCACAGTTAGATAACAGCTTAAAATGTCTGCCTGGTGCCTGGTGCCTTTGAACAATCGAATGAGCAAATCCAAGTTTGATACTCTAAGTTGATTTAGCCATTCGCACAAGGTGATAACCGTCGACCGTGTAGCTCAGGGGTAAAGGTTTGAAGTCCCGACCCGACTAATCGCGATTCGAGTTCTGACAGGGACACAAAAGGTACCCACTGCTGACGAGTCCCAAACAGGACGAAACAGCTGTCCATTGCTCTTTGTTCGTAATCACAAACATATCCATCGGATTTGAATGCACACAAACAGTGAGAAATGAACGATATCCCAAGGAGCCAGACCCACACCGAAGACCATCAAGAGTGCCTGGTGCATCTGAACAATCGAATGGGTTAACCCACGCTAGATACTCTAAACATTTTTGTAATCTGCAAAGGTTTTATCCGCAATTTTGTGGGGCACCCGAATGGGGTCATTTTTGTTGCAGTTGTCGCTAAAGCCAGGGTCATTCGGTCTATCGATGGGTGCTGTCGCACTAACGTGCAAACGGGTGAACGATAATCGCGATTGACTGGTAAGCGTGTGTATGGAGTAAGATGTCGGATCCAAGCGATCGATAAACGCCGGCGCACGGACCCGCCTGTTTGAATGAATGAACGATAGTCGCACTTGTCATTGCTAGAGCACCGATGAAATTGGCCAGGCCATTGGCCAAAGGTCATCGTAGCCCGGGTCTGACGCACCCGTGACTTTTTGAGCGATGCATTTCTAACGTGTGAATCACGTGTTTAACTTAATCCGTCACTTATGTCTACCAACACTGGCCACAACGAATGTATCGATCGTGTTAAGCATACACTGGCAACAACAACAGCAAACGAACGAGCTTTTCAGTTCACACTTCATTTGCTATATACACGACTAATTACCATTTGAAATTNGAATGTTTCCAACCGAGTCATAACCCCGGAGGCTAGTGCTGAGTTGAGCAGGGTCCGTGGCCCGCAAGAAACTCTCAAAGATGGGTTGTACTATATCGTGTAATTGGAAAATGAAAAAAGCGGTCTGATCAGCTACTCGGTGGCGTAGTGGGTAGCACGCTTGCGTTCTGCCCAGGGGTTCGATCCCCAGTCGGGTCGATGGATTCGCACTGCTGATGAGACCCAACCAGGTCGACACAGTTGTCCAGTGCTTCCGAGCTATTCAGTTCACGCTTCATTTGAAATTCAATCAAATCCTCCATTACCCACATGAACGAGAGTTATTGCTATACATTTCTCACCGGAAAAGCATGAACAGATTGCACAGTGAGCAATCAATTTGGAATATGAGAAAGAAGACAATGAACTAGGTATAACCCGTAACAGATATTTCACTTATTTTAGATGACGTGATTTCATTCGAATGCGGTTTTTGTCCATTGTTCTCAATGTGTTCGGTGTGGCTCATCGTTAGTTTTATCGATGGATTAATAATGAAGTGCTTATTATAGCTGAAAACAATGGACGCCAAATACGCAATTCTGTGGGTGACCTAATATTGCAAAGGACCGAAGGAATATCTGGAACTAATACGCGCTAATTTGGTTGGAAAAGGTTTCGAGATGACTGGACACTTGAAACCGAAAAATGGCTGAAAACCGAATGCAATGTATCGATATTTTTTTAAAATTTTTTCATAAAACTCCCAGTCGATTTTTCATACTACTTAATAGCATTTTTAATACTGACTAACATGTTATGTCGCAGCTCCTGGAATTCACCCGCTTTTTTGAATTCCCGAGGGGTATTACATAGCAGGAGATTGCCTGTACCACATGGGTTTGTTCAATTATGGCGAACGAACCTGTACAAGCATATAAGGATTAGTAAACTTAGGCGTAGAAGGTCAACTCCACAGTAAGTGGACTGAGTGTATCAAAACCTTTTGTGTGCATAAGATCGGTTGATATAGTCACTTCACTAGTTGCCAAGAATTTAGCATTGCAATTACGTTTGAAAGACAGATTGGGGTCGACTGTATGTCTTGTTGTCATGAGATGTTTGGCAACTGATGACCCCGGGGTTCTTGTAATCACCTGACCATCAATTATTGGAATATGTTCGGCCATCAGTTGCGAGAGCTGCTTATGTATGCATCACCGCAACTGCAGATGAACTGGTATACAGTGTAGGAGACGGAACCGACTTGCCATGTTTATGTTTATCCAAATCAGTTCCACCAATAGAGGCAATAAGTCTGAGTTGAGCAGCGCTACCGTGCTATAGCGCTGACTTCAACTTATGGCGCACATTCTTGTAAATGTGGTTACCTTTGAACGCAAGCATCAAGTAGATGACCTTTTTGCTGATGTTTGGAATTTGTTTACCTTTTGGGATTGCATTTAATAATTTGCCATATCCGTGAAAAGTGTCCCCTTTGAACAAAGAAAAATTTGGAACGTTTATGGTAATTTCGCTCACAGAACAATAAAGTGGTATTCCATTTGAAACATGCTTGAATAAGATACATTTCTAACCAAAATTGGTGGTTTGGTTGTTTTGATTTCAAAAAGCGATTGAAGATACCGATAATCAGACAAATTGATGATGCTTTCACTTCTTCTTTAATCACTGAGCTCAGAATTGTAGCGTCAATCTTTAGCGAAGCCGCAAGTAAGCAACCGCCTCTGGTCTGTTATCATCATCTGTTATCATACCAGTCGACAGCTTCACGTTTACTGACACCCTACCGGTAAAAACAGTTCGAAGCGTTTCATTGAAGCCACCCCTGTTACGTTTAATCACTTTGGATTCGATGAGAACTTACCCAAATAAGGTCCCTTGAATCGTCAACAGAGTGCCGCCAGCTGTTCCGCCAATCAGAGGTTGAACACTGCTAACAGTCGGTGTGGATGCAATCAGGTAGCTGAATGCATTCCCCAGTGTGGTCGTTTGGGTATCTCCCTTTGGATTGATCGCGTTCACAGTCACATCACAAACTATGTCCGATTGGTAATCTAAGCAGTTGTAGAGAGCAGTGTGAGATGTCAGTTGAAAATCGTTAGGTGATAAAATAAAAGAAACTGTCTCATTTGTGGCTTCACGTNTGACCATTGTTACGTGGTTCCACCCGGTTAACTCGTCGCGGCCCACGAATACCGTGTTGTGGATCTCATCTGCCATATAATCACAGTTAACAAAATATGGCCAATGTAGACCCTATTATTCGAATGTCAGTAGTCAAAGTCACTGTACAATCTAAGCTTATCATCTTCATCCATCCCTTTTTACTCCCGGCTTAGACATACATGATATGTGACTGCATGAAAGAACAAAACTCAAACATATAATTGACACTGATTTGAGCTGACTATCCTTCGGACTTCCCTTTCACGCACATTCGTCAACTTTTCCAGTCAGCCATACATTCAGAAGCATTAGACTCGAGTTTAGCCCTTACTAGAGCTCATCCGTAGAGCATATTCATCGTCCCGTCCGGAATTTGAACTCCAGTGCGTCAACATTGTCAGGCACAAGCTGGTGCAAGCGCTACCGAAAGGAATATGTCGTCATGCTGGGCAATCAACGAACGAATTGATGCGTACAGATCAATACTGACCTTTGATTCGCTGAAACGAATCAAACTTGTAGTAAATTTCGCAGGTCACAGTAATATCTTAAAGTGAGCAAAAATGCCGGATAAATAGAGTTTCTCAAACAGAGTGGAAAGAATAATATGGACAAAATGGATCTGGTCCCCTAACCAGCAATCCGTGCACATAAACCTTATCAAATACGATTGATTGTTTTTTCGATCGAGATGTTCCTCTGTCACTGTCACCTGTGTCCTGGCACAGCTGATTCTCTCTGATCCACCTTGCCATGTGATTGAATAATTTCTACACTACTTGCAATCTTAGGAGTTTCTCAACTTAACACGAGACTTCAGATGGTCAATGTTTGGATTAGCCCATTTGCTTTTTCACAGGCACCAGGGACTGTTGATGACTTTGGCTGTGGGTTTCACTCCTTGTGAGATCGATAATTCCCCTGGAGGGTCAATGGATAGAGGCCAAACAAATCTGAGTCTAACAAAGCCAGTTACTTGGGCACCTCCTGGCCTCCTTGAACTATCCACTCCCCCCCTGGAGATGTCCCTGCAGCAGATAAACAAGGGAAGGAGCAGTTTATTGGTAAAGAATCCCCGATAGATTGACATTGATGCGGGGTACCTGGGGCTTTCTCTCGACGGTGGGAGAAGTTTTCGCATTTCATTAGACAGCTATCGCCCGCCCAAGCTGGGCAGCATCCAACCAATAAGGTGTTATCCCGTTCACGTTCCGCTTATCTCGTTGTTTGCATAAGACTAAGGACCAATCCCAAACGGCGGGCCGACAATCGACGCACCAGCGAACATTGCACTGAACAAGAACTCGAGGATCTTGTGTGACAGGTCTCTAGAAGCTCCCACACAGGTACTTCGGTCACTTTTCCGCTTTAGACCTAAGCCTCAGTGCTTTGTATGCCAGACTTTTGAGTCGAAGGCTCTGATTCTGGTTCCCAAAGAAAAACCCCTTCGTCGATGTGGGCTGCCGCGAAGGGTGTCATACCCTAAAGTCTTTGGCACCCATTTGGGAGAACCTGTTTCCCATTTGAATTCCGTATAATCCCAGAAAACTCGTGTTTATGTCACCCATCGGGTATCACCAAGCGTTTTACCACCAAGGCAAAACAGTCAGAAGTGTCAAGAGAAGCCTAACCTTCTCCTGATAATTATCTTGGTGTGAATCAGAACTGGGTTGAGACCAGTTGTCACCGTGTGAACGTGTCGGCATTTTCTCAGTGTTACTATCCAGTACCATACGTGGACGTCAGACTAAAAGTACAGTGCACGGTGGCCTGATTTCTAGCAATCTTCCATCGCCACCCACGTAACCCCCCATTCCGGATAAATGTCTAGACGGTGTGCAACCCATAAAAACTTCATGTTGTATTCCTTACTTAGCCACGACTACGTTTTGGCTGGTGATACCAATAAAGGCTTGCGCTGTTTTTTTTCAACCGTCTTTTTACTGGAATCATTGGGATACGCATCGTAAGATCATGTCCTGTGATAGTTTGGTGAGACATAACAAGAATTTATGGGATTTGTTGCAGCCAAAAATTCCCTTTTCACTCAGCCATGTTCAATGTCCGCACACTCTACCAGATCGATCAAGAAGCTGCCTTAGCTAGAACCCTTGAAGCTGTCAATTAAGATGTATGCTATCTCTCTGAAACATGCATACAAGAACCTACTCCAATCATCTCCCTGCGTTCTCCAGATTCGACCTCATCCTCACGCTTCACTCTGCGTGGGACAAGCGATTAAGCATTTGAAGCTGCTGTTGAGATTGCTCTAAGTGCCAAGATTGATCGCTCGTTTCTTGACTGGATTCCAGTCAATAGCCGATTGTACGCTGTACGTCTCACTCGTTCAGTACGGGTCAATAGTTACAGAAAGAAATTCGGTGCTTATTCGTCGAACCCGACTGATTGCAGTTCGCCAGAAACGAAGTATAGGTTCTAAAAATCCTCTCCCAACTGCTCCAAAGTACTTGGTCAACGGACATCGTGGTAGTCGCTGGACGCTTCAATGCTCAAGTGAGATCCCTGGACAAATCATAAAGGCTACTTGGTGGTTTACATGCAATCCCAGTCAACCGGACTGACAACGGAGAACGCCTGCTACAAATTTGCGCTGACCGCGGATTGTTTCTGTGAAGCACCAATAAACGATACATCAATCCGATGGCAGACTGTTTCACCATCAGTAACGCCGTCTTGATCGATGGGCTGAACATTTCGAGGCTCAAATCAATTTGCCCCCTCCCCCACATACCTCGACTGGGCAAACCCTCCCGGCTGATGCCAGTGCTCCATCTGAAATGGAGCTTTCCTGAGGAGGAAGTTTTCTCAAAAGGTATAAGGCCTACGGCCCAGATGGATTTTCCCTATAGGCTTTTAAGTATGGAGGATCAGTCTTGGTTTCAGAGTGGACGAAACCCCCGGGGTCTGTGTGGGAGACAGAAGAAGTTCCAACGGAATGTTATGAATCGCACGCAAGAGAATCAGGCTGATTTTAGACCTGGACGAGGTTCTATTAACCACATCTTCACTCTTTGCCAAATTCTCGCGTACCCAAAATCTTTGTCTTCCTCGATCTAGAAACTTCCTTCGACTCAGCCGACCACTCCAAACTCTGGCACTGCCTTTCCTCGAAGAGTGTGCCCGAGAAATTTATTCCAATATTACCATCTCTTGATACTAATAGCCAAAGCTGAATCCAAACTTACGGTGCTTTGTCGCCCGAGTTTACCACAGAAAGCGGTGCTCCTCAGGATTGCGCGGTCTCACTCTCCCTTTCTGTTTAAGTTAGATATAAATTTGATTATGGAAACAGACCTATCCTTGTGCGACGATAGTGACATCCAGTTGTTTCTGGGTGATAGACTGTCTGATTTAAAGTATCTGGACGACGTTGTTCTGCTAAGTGAAGATCCAGGTAAGTTGCAAGCATTTCTGGATAGTTTGAGTGCAAGTGCAACCATATTTGGTACACGTTTTGCATCCTCAAGTAGTAAAACGTTGCTAAAAGATTGGTTCGTTCCAGCCGTCAACCTCACCATGATTGGGAAAGTATCAAATGACTTAGACAAAACTCGTTATTTGGGCAGCTATATCTCACCCGATGCACTCACCTCTGATGAAATGTCAGCTCGCATACAAAAGGCTTGATTAGCATTTATCAACTTCTGTGACTTCTGTGACGCCGTCACGACATTCGGCCGTCCGTGAAGGGTCGAGTGTATGATGCGGTGGTTCAGTCAGTTCTACTATATGGCGCAGAAAAGTTTCCATTAGGAAAAAAGGATAAAGATAGATTGTCGGTATTTGAGTACCGCTGTCTACACAGCATTGCACGAATCTAGTGGGGAAGCCGGACGAGCAATGCTAAGGTTTGGCGCAGAGTTTTGGGTAACTGCGGTCGCCCAATGGAACAAGTGATTTATCTCCATAGATTACGTTGTTTGGGGTTTGTTTTATGCATGTCCCCAAATATGTTGCCACGGCGAGCGATGTTCGCTGAAGTAGATTGTGGTTGGAAGAAGCTAAGGGTGGTCAAACTAAGACCTGGCATGAGGTTATGAAAACCCTAACCAGAAGACTGGATCGCATAGGTTCCGTGACTCTCCTAGACTGGGGACCTCAAAAACATAACCGGTGATTAGAAACACCGAGTGATATGGCTAAGTGTCGTAAACAGTGGCGTACGTGCATCTTCTCGATTTATTTGCAGAATAATTCCACTGAAATCCGCCATTTTCTGTTCGATTCTACTTTCAACTTTCCTGTCTTTTCCTACTGTTCGTCTAAACCGGTAGCCAAAGCCGGCACAGGAAAATGCATAATTAATGGTTGTACAAACTGAAACGGAAAACTGTTATTTACTATGTTTTATTTCTTTACTCTTAAATTAGTCGCTCCCTGCACTTCAGATCCCAGTAACTATAATTAAAATAGTGTTATATGGCTATAAAAGATCATTAAACGGTTAATCACGTTGCTTTTGTTCTCAACTGTCAGGCACATAATGCGTGGAGTCCTATAAGAGTCATCAACAGCTGCAGTGGAGGCCTTCATTGAACTGGTCTAAAGGTTACACCCATTTCGGCTTGGTCAATCTGTTTCACTAAATGATTAGAACGCTTGGAGCTGAGTGCAAGAACGCTGGTGGAGAACACTTCGATAAAATGTAATCCTTATTTGTGTGTAACAAATAAAACATTTTGTGCGTCCGGGTAATTTTGTACTCAGCCCTCGTTAAACGAAATCTGAGAAGCGCTAATGAATCAGGAATAAAACGTTTTCACGCCCCAGTTCACTCACCCGAACCAGGAATGGTACATTCGAGAAACATGGATTTGCCTTTCACACTCGCACATACTCGATTGCATATGGTGACACGAGATTGGACTCCGGCAAATCCAACCCCTTGCAGAGACAGTTTTTGATTGCCCAAAAGGCCACCTACGGCACGAAAACGGAGAGACAAAAGGGACAAATTGGGCGTTTATAGGTATGAATAAGGCAAATAGTTTTTTGGAATGTTTAGCATTTTGTGATGATCAATGAAAAAGATACGTGTGAATTCCACGGGCATGAGAATTTGCTACTTCTCACTCGTGAAACTCGGCAGCCCCATTCGTGGGAGCGGCATTTCCTAATCACATAATCACTTGATAGAACATGCACAATATTGAGTCGGACGAAATGGAAGCGGCTTACCAGCGCTTACGGGCGATAGGGTCAGAATTCACACCACAAACTTTCAGAGCTTAAGGGATACACGATTTTTGAGCGCCGTAAACCGCTTGGTCATCATCAGCAGCAGCGAATTTAGAGCCCAGTTGGTACTACCCGCAGTATCCTACTCTCACGGCAGCTATTTAAGGGATCATGTGATTCTAGTGGCAATGCTAGAATTATTTTAAGTAGTCTGTTTGATCGTGGTAAAAACCTCAAGGTTTGCAATCCAATACCCCAGGAAGTGGCCTCGTTAAAGTCCAGAGCGTCCATGATGAATGCCGAACAGGGATAGGTGCTGAACTGACAAGTCTGATCTGAGCTTCCACAATGAGAGACGGACAATTCGTGGCGATCTAGCCGTTTCTATTCTGTCTGATAAGAATGCATCGCATGATATAAGTTGAAGGAAGCTAATATTCACAATAAATAAATAAAAACATTTTCCAGGAGTAATTGAACTGCTGGCAGGGACCAATTGTCGTCACTCACTATAACGTCCGGAGCATGTGACCTGTAAAAGATTTCGAGAATTCTTTATCGTTTAACTACAATCCTTATCCATTTATGTATTATACCATATTCCAACCGGTCGCATACTATACAATACCTTGCATTTATATATTTCTAATCATTTTGCTACTGCCGTCTACAACTGTTTATTTCCATTCTGACCTCGACGTCGTGTCAATCTAGTCGTAAGTGCTTATTTTCTATATACTAGTATTGTTATTATTTATAGAACTCATTTCAATATTACTTCTACTGCCCACGGCTGTTTTTTTTCTACTCAGATAGTGCGTTTATACTAGATTAGCAGGATCGGTCCTTGTTTTTAACTGCCGTTGATACATTTGACTGTTTTCGTCCTACCGCTCACATTGGATTTCGCACTGTTAGTCGTTTACCGATCGTAGATTCCATAGGTGCAGTCAAAATTGCGTCCATCGTACTCTCTGATTGCGTTTTCGTAACAAGGCCCATGGCCAAAGATGAAACAATTGCATGAATGAATCTCAGATTGCAATAAAGTATACAATGATTGGTCATAATTCAATCTTCCAATCAGCATTTCGGATTTTTCACGCGTAGCACCACCACCAATTCCACTGCGCGGACGAGTTATTATAAAGCTATAACCACCGTGCGATATGCAGATTTACTCTCTGGAACACAATTCGCAAATCTGCTTTACTTTATATGACAACGGGATTTCACTAGTGAACGAAAGCGAACGTAAACTTGAAATTCGTGTTTTAATGTCTTTTCACGAGATTGGTACTTAATTGTTGCAAAACAATAAACAGTTTTGGTGACTATAGATCAATAACTTCGTCAATAGACCCAAAAATTCTATTGTTAAATCATTATTGATAGGCAATTACTTGCGGATGGACCAATTGAAGTGAGTTGCAGGGGAACAGTCAGTTTTGCCGTTGATAATGCTTGACCGAACCCGGGAGCGGTTAAAATGACGGAATACTGTCCCCATGGCAAGTCATTCGTCGTGCATACAACACTGGTTTCTGTTTGTTCAGTCACCTGGCAAGGAATTCCACTGTCCAACGTGACCAACACATTACCGGTTGAATCCCCGGTCAAAAGAGTTCCTGCGATAGTAATTTGATGCGTTTTACTTCCATCCGCCACGGTGATTACCGTCATAGAGGCCCCGCTGATTGATGGGGTACAATCTGAGGAATAGGTGAACGCGTTGGCTAACTGGGAACTGTTTGACGTTTGGGCGATTTCAGCTGTCACCATCACGATCTTTGTGGTCGTACCATCTGAGGGTACCGTGCTAGCCGGGGTCAGACAATACAATCGGTCCGATGTGCGTGTCTCCTTGGGGGGAATTGAACAAATTGCCTGATCCACGTGGACAGTAAGATTGGCCGCATCCAAACCGTTTCCTGTTAAACATATCAAAGTTCCACCGGCAAAACTACCCAATGACGGAGTGACAGCTTCGACATTTAGTTTGCTGGTCACAATTAGATTCTCGGCAATGATTGCTCCTCCTCGTACGTGATTGATTACTTTCAAAGAATGATACCCATATGGTAAGGGCATGGTGGGAACACAGGTTATACTTTGTCCGTCTGCATTAATGCTCACTTGAGTGCAAGGAATTTCACCGACTAGGATGGATAGAACATCTGTGGTTTCACTGTCCAGGAGCAAATTGTCCCCACTCAGTGTTAAAGTGACAGTGGATGTGGTGACAGTGAGCGGCTCGACCAGATTTACTTTCGGAGTCATTGCAGTGGAAAAAATGTACACGCACCGCGTTGGTGTAGAGCAGGTAACCGGAATCCACTCACGAGTCACCGGGTTGAATATGTCGATGTTTATGGCAGCTTCTGTCGTAACGGTACGTGAAAGAACATTCGGATCAATTGGAAGTATGTTACAGGTGATCTGCCCAGATGTCAATACCAGCGGGACACAGGGAAATCGATTTGGTCCCAGAGTAACCCTTACGTGTCCCAGTTGGTCCGTCGCAAAACCCGAACCCACAATGATCAGGGTGCCTCCACCGCGAACACTTCCTGCTTGAACTTCATTTTGTGAACTAATCTGCGGCAGGAAGAAAAATATTCGATCTAACGGATCCGATCCGCCCAACACGATAGCTGATCCGGCCTCCTTGTAAACTGCATCTAACCAAAGTGGTGAACCGGCTAGTAGGTTTGCCTCAACAGCATTCGAATCCCCAATCCGACAGTTCAGTGGTGAGCTGCTGGGGCTATTTTCATCGGTAAGTAACTCACACAATGCCCCACCCACACGAATTTCGATCAGTTCGACACAGGTGGACAGATCTTTCGCATCAATGTTAATGATTGTATCCGCCGAACCATTTCGGGGACTGAAAGTGTTGACGACCGGTGTGAGACAAGCCCGAAGTGCGAACATGTGGTGATCGTTTAAGGCGGGCACATTGGTCCATTCAGAGCAGGTCTGGAACGCGGGACAACTGACGCTTGTGGTAGTGATTGGGGAATCTACAGGATTGAGAGGAGAAGGATCAGAGATGGACATACTACGCATGAATCAATTACAGACGAAAAGATAGTTGGTCTATAGTGCATTGAACTTACCATGAAACGCGTTAAAATAATTGAATCAGGTGAGCAGAGAAATGATCTATGTTGAACTTCTAAAGGTTTTCCAAATGGTAATTGATTTGAACCAGAGAATGCTTAATTGGTTTCTACGCAAAAAAATCCTTGTCGTCAATTTTACCTCACTGAGCCTAAAGAACCCCCATTTCCTTATCATTGCTGTAAACTACTGAGAGGAACATGAATTCATGGGTATTGATCGAACGCGTGCAACACCCTGACTTTCATCACTTTTTTCCCTTTCAACGCTNTTCAACGCTTTCTGTTTGGAGCCTCATTCACGGAAGTGAATAGGATATAGCTCCACGTCAGACACAGCATATCTCTCTACTAATATCCACTTATGATTTTACGAATTTTGGTTCTAATGATCTTAAAACGTACGATTTCTCGATTTTGACGATAATTACTAGTGCATCAGTTGTAAGATAACAGGACCTCAGAGTAAAAACGTAATTGGAATTCAGCTGTAAAAATGGGTCACAATCATGATACAGGTATTGTACTTTCATTTAGTCAATTTTTCTATTTGCCCTTCTTTATTGTTGAGTGCCGCAGGCAACCGTTTTTCTTCATGGATTCCATAAACTTCACTGGCAAATAACCTTTGCGAGTTTCCCCCAATGCATACAGCACCCTGGCCACTGACAAACAGCGTCAAGGTTGATAGCTTATTGTTGTTTCAAACACAGGGCAAAGTTTGCAATCACATTCAAACCTGAGCGGCAATTGCATGGTTTATGTCTTGATAGAGTAATTTCGTTGATTGTGCAATAAATTGGGCCTGTGTTCATATCGAAGTCTTTGCACAACTGAGGAACCGAGTCATCGGATTTATTTGCCTCTGGAATAAGTTACCTCTCATCTTCGAATGTATGCCCAAACCTTTTGAACGGTTTGGCTATGGTGACAATACAAGGTGCTTGTTCTTCGAGTCGCACAGCTCAAGGTCAGCTCCCAAAGGTCAAATAGAATATAATTTGTCCTTTCAACATGTGTCCCGTTTGAAGTTAGTAAATCGGTACGCAGTCAATTGGTCTGTAAGCCGGTGAGTAAGCAGGAGCGGGAAACACACCGGCAAGTAGGCAGGCCGACAGGCCAACAACTGGCTCAAGCGTCACACGGCATCCGTACGTGGTCACGCAGTCACTAAAAAAACGTTCAGCGTGGGCAGTTTAATGCTAACACCTGATTAACTGGAGCCGATTGATATTGTAATAGAATCAGTCCGCGTGGCAGCAGGCAACATCTGTCGGTCAATCAATTAATCCGGTCACAGGCATGCAAGATACACATATCGGTCAATTTTAGACCACAACATAGAATAAGGAGTGGTACGTGAACAACTTGTATTTGGGCTACAAAACGTTCAACAATCAAATTAATTCCAGTGCACCGAATGAAAAATATAGGCTATTTAAAATACCTGTATTGATAAGAGTAAGAACCATTAAGAAAAAGCAATCAGTTAATGGAAAGAATTAACTTCCATGCTGCTTTGCATAAAATACTTTTCAATTCAGAGAGGTAACTTTCAAAGTACCACAAATTTTATCGCGCCACACAAGGTCGCGCAAATTCAAACTATGATAGAAGAGACTTAAAAAACGTCGTAGTGGGAGACAAAGTTTGGAATAAATACACTTCACCCATAGCCATCAGTATACACGTAACATTGGAAACTGAAATGTATTGCCGAAATGATAGTCACGTGGCTTGAATTGCATCAGAGCCTACATTTATATTGAAATCATCTTGATAAATTCATTCACTTACCAGCTATATTACTGTACGTGGCTTCTACTTCACCTTCACGTACAACCACATCAGTCAGACAGTCACCAAAAGGTAGAACACGTACTGAACCGATCATCACGTAGTCAGTCGCGGATGCATAAAAGTAGTTACCCGGCTCGGGAAATTGTTTTGAGAAACGACCTGAAATAGGGTATAGTAAAGTTATTCGGTGTTGATCTGGTGCTGAAATGATATAAGTATATTTATAAAAGCTAACCTTTTATTTAAAATATCACTCGCTTCTGAAGAAGCTTGGAAGAGTTGTAAAGATACTCTTCACTTCCGACATAAATATTCACTGGTGTATAGGCAAAGAATCCATTTAGACTCAATCTAGGTAAACTAATTTGATTGGGTCTCAACAGCTTGCCGCAGATACCTCACCACGAGTTGATACAATACCTATCTGCCTGCCACTCTTGTTGAAAATACTACCGAATACTAACGGACAGCCATCGAATCCCTACAGAACGATTTTTGTCTGTCACAACAAAGAGAAGTCTTCTGGACTCGGAGGACCACGTGCCGGTTTATTGTGGAGCACTGAAGGTCAGTGTGTGAGGGCAACAGTCCGTGGTCTTAGGATTTTTATTTGTTCGAATTCAGTAGGGCGCTCTGTTTCAGACTTCTGACAATGAGGAAACAGCTGTATACAGTACTTCCAAGGATTTGTTTGAGCGGGTAAAACTACCATGATTCTTTACGGTTTACCTATAAACCACATGTTCACACTTATCGCTGTTGCCCATATTGTTCATTCTTTTGTGTCCGCCTTAGGTTCAGGTACCGCTCGTTTGGCTTTTCTCGATTGTGTAAACGCCTTTAGTTATCACTACCGAAGAGTGTGTATTCATCGTCTTTCCGAGTGTGGTCTGACAACGGAAGTCTTGAGTGTACTTATCGACTACTTCCCCCGTAGAACGGAGTATAATTCACTGAGTGGGGCACATTCGACTTCTGTTACTATTGAACCTGGTGTTTTTCAGTGTGATATTTTGTACCCTTTCTTCCTCTGTCTCTACCCAGAAGAGAATTGGAATATCTCGATACTTGCAATTTCGCTACTGTATATATTTGAGTAGTCTGATTATAAATGACAATATCCCCAGTTGAGTCGATGAGTTCGCATGCCTCATGAGACCCAACCAGGTCGAAACAGCTGTCCAAAACTTCCTTGCATTCCAGTTCATACTTCAATTGGTACATACACGATGAATTCCTATTTGAAATATCCATTGACCGGGTTACACTGAATATTAAATGCCAATGACAGAAAGCCAAAGTTGAACGATTAGTTACCCAGTGAATGTTTACTATTGTTCTCTCTCTCTGTGCTTATAAATGTACACTTCCATCTTGGTTTGAAATTGTCCGTATGCTGGAGTCAAGTTAAGTGCGTTTGAATCTATCCGACATTTATCAATTGCCAAATTTTGTAGAACCACGGTTCACGCAAAAATAAAGTATACCAGCTCTTACTGCGTTTTCTGCGTCCTCTCAGGCCGTGCGTGAGACTGGCCTTGACCACTTCCAGTTTACCACCGTAGCCGCCCATCTCTTTCTACAGGTATGTAAGGCGTTTCTTGACTTGATATATATAGCACGACCGAATATATTTTTAGAGAGAAGCCTGATGCCGTCTCCCACCCTGACGGCTTTTTAAAAGTACGAATGAAAATGAGCTTGATAGCGCGAATAAATCTGACTGGTTCAATCAATAATGAAAGATATATATATATATATAATTGACGAAAGGTATTACAAACTGAATTACATGATAAAACCTTATGAACATCGAACCTAGCCTGGTTCGATAGGTACCCGAGTCAACTAATAAAAAATACTGGATTACAGTCTAAATGAGCTCTTCACGTAATCAGACAAGGAATTCCGTCAACCAGTCAGCTGATTGTCTGAATAAGTAACAAACGGCAGGAAATTCAGTCCGATCGTTGGAAGGTCGATACTTGTAAACCAAATTTGAATTGACTTCCTCGTCTAACAACTCCCAACCCCAAAAAACGCATTTCTTTCACTGAACTATCTAACTTTGCTTCTTTCGAAAATCCGGAATCATTGATTCAGATCAGTTTCCGGCCCGCTAGCAATAAAAAAACCGTTCCTCTGCTTATGACCCTAATCTGCGATTCGTTCGGTCGCTGAACCACAATAAAGAAGTTATTGTTGAACTGCATTGTGTGTGTGGTCCGCGCATCTGCGATGTATTGATTGATCGTTTGAATCCACGGAGTGGTACTTGTGATTCTATTTATAAATTCTATTTCAATAGCAACCATTGACTGATGTTAACTGATCTCATCTACCGACTGAGCGGATCGACATGCTTGTATTTGAAACAATGTCTTCCCAACACGAACTCAAACAGGGTGGTTATTAAAATAGTGGCCCAGATGTCTTGGGTTAGAACTGCTCCACCGCTGCCCATTTCTGTATTTTCCCAGGCAGCCCTGATATGGCCGTGCCCGTCGTCTGGAAAGTTGACTGTACATTTTTATATTCAATAAATAAACCAGAGATTCAAAAAACATTTAGAATTATTTTAAACATGAAACACTACACTCCACGCAAGAACGATATAATTTGCCATATTCAGTTAAACAGAAATAGGTTCACATCACTCTGGCATTGCCATGGGGACCGCGTAAGCGGTAAATTGAACTGATACCGTGTCAGATAAATAAATTATTTTGTTTCTACAGTAAACNTAAACACCAACTGCGATTCAACGAAATGCCCTAAATTTGTTTGACTTCCCCTTCTCGGAAGTTTATCGCATGCGAAACGTATACAAGCCACTTATTGTCCGTGCAAAAATGATCAACGGTCATGCAAATTATATTGGCACCATATTTACAGTATAAGGTCATCTCATCGTCGACATCTAAATCAATTCTGATGCTAAGTTAAAGTACCCCGACATTAGTTTCGGATACCGCATTACCATGTTGNGACGGTAAATTGCGAAGTAAGCTGATTGTCTAATTATTCAAACGTTTGAGCTGCTGGAATTCAAGGCTTTTCTGCCGCCTCTTAAACGCGAAGCGAATCAACTTGAATGTGAATGATGTGGTTGAATGTAGAAATAAGAATTGCTTACGTCACTCAATAATCATCGGATAAGCTTCTTTTTGCAAAAATGTCTTGTTTAGTTTTAAATGATACCGTCTACATAGTTACGAAACATTCTCAATCGATACTGGCAAATTCTAAATTACAAAAGGTATATATCAACAAATCGATTTCTGAATCAAAAATTATTAAATCTGGCAAGTTTTGTATGGGAAATAATTCAAAACAAACGTAAAGAGGAATGATGATGAACGACATTGCTGTCAAACGCCAATGGAGATGGCCTGTGGTGGTCGACACGTGATGATTTGGTGTGGAGCACTGATGTAAAAGGGCCTACTAACCATGGTTTCAGTTGTTCTTCGTTTAGCAGCAGTTACCGTGATCATTCGGTTCAGTTGCATTCAAACACTGTTATTATATTGGACATTTCAAAATGTATATGGATGCATAAACAGCCCGTTCAGATCATGCAGTGGTGATTGACCCCCCCCCCCGGTTCCAACTTTTTCCCCTAGAATTTGTCGCTTCATTTGAGTACTTGTTACGTGCGGCAGCTACACCAGGTTCTGAATTTTGTTCTAAACGTGTGTTTGTGTGAGTGTGTACGAAGTGGGAAACTCAATTCTGTTTATCAAGGTCACCTAAGTGCCCGAAAATTCAGTCACTACCATTCTCCGTTCTTAAGATAAACCGTAGAGAACTGTTGCTCTCACTTACCCTGACTTGAAGCGGGTGCGCTGAATCCGGATGGCACAGCCAAAGGTCTTTGCACACTTTCAACTTCATAAATTGAAAACAGTTTGTCAGCTAACGGAGATGTCCATTGCCATTCGACCGTATCCCCTTGCATTATTGTCACAGTAGCCGGGTTCCATTTGTAATTTGAACCGGAAGCTGTGAATAAATAAATAGATAAAATGAAGAAGAATATTTGTATCGGCATCGTGCGATATAAGTGATGCGCTATGTGAGAGTTCGTAATTGAACGTACAATGTACGGTAACACACGGCTGTCGGAAAATTCGTTATCAGGCTATCATTCGGCCACCGTGAGCAAGAAGGGTTTACAATGGAATGATTCAGGCGAAATTAGTCTCTCGGATTAGAAAGTTAGTGGCAGGATTAAGAGTCCTCTCGAGTACCTCACGTTCATCCTCATCCCACGCCCACCCCACCCCCACTCACGTCAAAAGTCTCAATCCATTTGGAGTGGAGTGCGTTATTTTGCACGGTGCAAAGTTTCAATGATTCCACCGCCAGCCAATTTGAGTGGTTGACAGCTGGACTGTAATCCGGGCGAATAGCGAGCGAGAGCGCGAGCGAGCGAGCTTATCCTATTTTAAGCGTATGTACTTCAAAGGCCAGGTTACCGATTACCACAGAGGAACAGAGGCTCCTGTCTTTCCATGTCACTTCTCTGTTTTTTTTATCGGATAACTGTACAATTTTCAGGACGGGTGAAACAACCGATCCAAAGGCTGCCATACAGAACATGTAATGTTGAAAGCATTGGGACAGAGGTCACGGAAGTTGTCAAGCCACGCACGGATTCACCTCACACCACAATCAAGCTCGTGATGCCCCGGGGTGAATCCATTCCGGATCGGATGACTATAGAACGATTCATACAGCTGTGGTCCGATCGATCAATCGCAGTGTCAGTGATGCAGTCTGATTGGGGCGTTACCGGGCCCCGTTCTCGTACATTTGATTTACCGCCTCATATGTGCGTACCACATGACGTCCATAGAATACACTCTCAATCTCACCCGTGGTTTTGTTGGGCTAATAAAATGGCGTTAGTGTCCATACGTACCTCTAGGCAGAACACAGCCTACAGTCAGACGGTTGTGGTGAGATTCGAACACATTCTCCGGGATGATAGTTTGGTAACGTACCATCGGGTCCCAATGGCGTTACACTCGGTCTACTGTGTATCTCAAATTGGCGTGTCAAAACTGTCAAAACAGTTCGGAAACTTTAGCTGACACAAACATAAAGGTAACAAATTATAGGCACACAGTTTCAGGCGAATTTATATCCGTCCATACACCGAGTACTCAATTTAGGCCTAGAACCCATGGCTGCAGCGAGATCGGAAGGCAATTGAACATCCATAGAGAGTGGCTACCAAGATGGTCAAAGGGCTACATTCCAAGACCTATGGCGAAAGATTATAGCTCTTGGGGCTATACTCGTCTCAATATCGTCAAATCAGGGGCGACATGATTTTACTGTATCAGATTTTCCAACAGCCCAACCATCCATATAGATCTCTTTTGGCTCTATCAACCAGTGTTCATCTCAGAGGGCATTCACTGAAGTTGGCATGCCAAAAGAGCCATCTGGACTGCAGACGCCATTCATTTGCTGTCAGAGTGTGCAGCAAATGGAACTCTCTACCACCTCACGTGGTCTGTGCGCCAACATTAGTATCTTTCAAGCGTTAGCTTGATGATGCTCTGGCAAACA